TATTTGAAAAGATAAAAACAATTGTCCCAAGTGGTAGGATGTGGGAATTGAGGAGGGGGAGACAAAGGTGAAGAAAGAAAATTGAAAAAGGTTTTGAGCACAGAGGTGAATAATATTGTCCCAGAGCTCTCCGTAACGAATCATCAGTGTCATACACAAGTCTACCAAACATATAGTGTGGAAGAGTTTTCCAGGAGAAAACACCTACCAAGATAAATAAAAGTAATCTAATGTGTTCTCTTCCTCTGAGCATGTAGCCATTCATATAATTTTTAATATTTTTGTATGTCTGCACATCATTTATATATGTGTATGATTTAAATATTGATAGGGAATTATATCAGCATTTATGATTTCTAGACCATCAAACATGGTTGGGGTACTAACATGTATTTTATAACTTTTTGTTCTATTTAGTGACAATATTACTCAAACTATTAACAAAGAAGGAAAATAAGGAGTTAGCATATGAAATTACATGTTAAATTAGTGTTCTCATTTTTGGCTATAAATAGTACAGTTTTCACTTGAAGAATTTATTGTTTCACTCAGTGTTGCAAATACAGTTGGTACTCTGTATCCACAGGGCATATCCCCATTCACAGATTCAACCAACCATGAATCGAAAATATTTGGGAAAAAAATAAAAAATAGCAGTACAACAATAAAAATTAATACAAAAAGAGTATAGTAACTGTTTACATAGTGTTTACATTGTAACCACTGGGAAAATTCCATCTTATAAGTAATCCAGAGATGGTTTAAAGTATACAGGAGGATGTACATAGGTTATAAGCAAATACCGTGCCATTTTATATAAGGCACTTGTGCATTTGCAGATTTTTGTTATCCACTTGAGTCCTGGAAACAATCTTGTGGATACTGAGGGAATGCTGTAGTATATTTACTAGATTTGGACGGTTTCAATTCTTAAATTAGTATCATTGGGTAACAGAACATGTACATTTTCAAAATTGTTAAGATACATAAGATATCATTTACTTCTTTAACACTAATAAAATATTTGAAAAGGGGCTCTTCAGTCTAGGCCCCTGAAAATTAAAGGAGTTGGAGTATAAGGTCTTATTTCTAACTTGCTTTCTGTCCCCTGGAGAGCCTTTTAACCTTTTTCACTTTAATTTCTTCAATAGAAAATAGCATGAAGAATAGTAAGGATAATATATGGCTTATGAATTATAATGATTGATACTTCTAAAGCATATAATGTAATACATGATTACATTTTTATAGGCCAGAATCTTACAAAAAAATTCTGATACATTTGAACTTTTTGGATTATTAGAGGAAATAAATTATAGAGAAAAGAGCCTCTCTGAAAACTGTTGTAGGAATCTTCTTGCTAATAGGGAAGAATATAAGTCAGTATGCCTAAAGCAATGCAGATGAATGAATTTATCATATTGCCTAATTTACTCACTTGAGCACTGTTTTGTTTTTTTTGTGTTTTTTTTGTTTTTGTTTTTGTTTTTTTTTTACTCTACTCTTACTAATGGAATGAGAATAAGATGGAATCTACCCAGGGCACTGGAACATCCTAAGCTTTTGCCTTCTTGCAGGATCTCCTAGAGAAATAAACGTTTTATTACCCTGAGGTCTTGTCACCAAAAAACACTTTAGAAATAAAGCTAGATTTAACCTTGTTGAAGGCTGTTTTAACGAAGTTTACTGCTGGACTGAGGCCTAGAGTTAAAAATGGCTGGAGGACTATCTTTGCTTCTTGTACTCTAAGTTCACAACTGAGTGATCTCATTACTATTAAATATGTGAAATCCAGTCAGCCAATAAAGAAAACAGGCAAGTAGGAGATGTATGTTTGGAGTAAGCTAAGGAATAAGATAAGAGTTTGTTCCAAAACCTAGAGCAAAGCTGATCTAATTTTTTCTGGGCTTTCTCAGTTCTTTTTCACCTGCTGCTTGGAAGGATGGATATTCAGTGCAAGACAGAGTTTGTACCAGTGTAGTCTTACCCACCTAGTCATATCACATCAAGTCAGGGCAACTTCTGAATAGGAATGCACCTGCTTAAACTGCATGTCAGAGAGAGCAAAGTAGAGAACACAAGAAGAGTGCTATTAGTCGTCTATTTTATTTTTTTTTTGAGTTTGAGTCTCTCCCTGTCACCCAGGCTGGAATGCAATGGCACGATCTCAGCTCACTGCAACCTCTGCCTCCTGGGTTCAAGCAATTCTCCTGCCTCAGCCTCCTGAGTAGCTGGGATTACAGGCATGCACCACCATGCCCGGCTAATTTTGTGTTTTTAGTAGAGACGGGGTTTCTCCATGTTGGTTAGGCTGGTCTTGAACTCCTGACATCAGGTGATCTGCCGGCCTCGGTCTCCCAAAGTGCTGGGATTACAGGCATGAGCCAACGTGCTTGGCCAGTCCTCTATTTTATGAAGCAAGGCAGTAGTTAGACGAGAGGAGATAAATTAAGATAGAGCCTTCTTCCGTGAATGAATCAGCCTAGAGCCTTATATTTGTGGAGGAAGGTACCAAGATGTGGCACCCAAGAGTAAGGTATACCACATCCTTGGCACTAGAGGCCAGTAAATTGGTCCTCAATCCTGACCATACCCTAGCATCATGCCTGTACCTTGGTCATTAGGACGGAAGGTATGTAGTTTTCTTTGTCAGCACTTATCAGTGTCCATGAGATTCTCAAATTTTTGAAATATGTGAATTCTTTAATAATATTTTCTATTATTTACCTCAGAGGGATTAATTTGTACTGATGGGGTAAATATTGGTTAGTGTAAACAAAGCACCTGAGATTACGAAGTGGTTAAATTTTCATTGAAAAAGTGACTGTGCAGTGAAGAGAAGACCCTCACTCATCATAGCTTCATCTCTCCCTAGCCAGGTTAGCTTTTGTGTCCAGGGTTTGCTTTTTTCTTTTCTACACTGAACCTAGTCATGAGAGCAGCAGCACAGTACAAGTAGGCACTCTGAACTCTTCATTGTCCCTGAAAGCTGGCAGGTTCCTACTCTTTCTTCCCTCCTAGAATATCTGATGGTATTAGCTGTGGAAAGGACATTGGACATGCTCCTTGGTATAAAGGTAATGGGAAGGGAATATATCAATTGATGTTCTAAATTTTTTTATAAATCATATAGGCAACACTTTTTTAAAAAAAAATTGCCTAGACTTTGGCTATAAATTGAAGTGGATTATTTTAAATATCTCCACAATAATATAGATAGATAATTTTATTTTTTTAAAGACAGTGTCTCCCCACGTCACCCAGACTGGAGTGCAGTGGCACAATCTTGGCTCACTGAAGCCTCGACCTCCTGGGCTCAAGTGATCCTCCCACCTTAGCCTTCCAAGTAGCTGGGAATACAGGTGCATGCTACCACGCCCGGGTAATTTTTTGTATTTTTGGTAGAGACGAGGATTCGTCATATTGCCCAGGCTGGTCTCGAACTCCTGAGCTCAGGTGACCCGCCTGCCTTGACCTCCCAAAGTGCTGGGATTACAGGCATGAGCCACCATGCCCAGCCAGAGATACATTTTTTTTAAAAATAAAAGATAAAACATATATTGAGCTAATTATATGCCAGTGGAGTGGAACTTTGGAGGGTCTTATTTTTGTGACAAATTATGTTTCAGGAGATGTATTAATGAAAGGTTTTTACAAGCCTTTTTAAATTTTAAATTTAAAAAACAGAGGTATAACATGCATACAAAAATTTACACAAATCCTAGGTTTCTAGATGAACTAAAGCTTTACAATCTTTTATGTATGTAAGTTTCTTCCCATGAGGCAAGGCAAACTGATGGAAGATGTTCTGTATCTTTAATTAAATGAGCAAAGCTAAAAATTTACCATAGCATCTACATAATTTTGAGATTTTACACTTGGGGGTTTTGTTCTTATTGTAAGATTTTACTGTTAGCCTTTAAAACCACACACACACACTCACACACACTACACACTCACACATTTTCGCACTTAGGTCACTTTTCTAGTATCAGCCACAGATATACATACAGATTCTGTATGTAAATCAACTGCCACAGATTGAATTATATCTCATTAAATCACAATTACACATTAGGATTTTCATTACCAAGCAAGTTCACAAGTACTGGAGGCGTACCATTGTTAACCCTATATTACTCTCTGTATGATAGCACTTATATGTCATGGTATCTCATAGTTTTAATAAGCTTTTAAATTTATTGAATGCTTATTGCCTTGACTTAAAAAGGTTTTAAAGTTTTCAATAAGTCTTCAAAACATTGCTTCTATTTTTCCACACTGTTTAAGGTTTTCAGTAACTCCTTCAGAACAAGTCCATCCTCTTAATCCGGCATTGAAGAGTCTTTACATTCTATCTACAGCCTTATTGCTTGACTTTGTCTCTTACTATTCCTCTGCTCCTCCTAGCAGTAGATACTAAATTATACTTAATAAGAATGTAGAATTCAACATTAATTAACTCTTAATGAAATACTACTGATTTTGTTTTCTTTCAAATGTATATATTAAGTCCAGTTAAACTGATATACCTTATGCTCCTTTCTGTCCTTTCCTATCACTGTACATAACTTTTTTCACATTTCTTCTATCTTTAGAATGACTTTTTGTTTTTGGTCAATTCCAATTATATTGTCATGGTTCAGTTCAGGTCATAATTCCCTCCATGATTAATATAGCTAGCTTAAAGTATTTTCTTCCTCAGAAATTTGGCCTTCTTTTCCTATATTACACTGGCCAATAATACATATCGCCTTTTTTAAAACATATTTTCTAGTTATTATTATCAAATTTTAAATGTTAAATTAAATATTAAAAATATTATTATAGAATTTAGTTTTTTTGTGTTTATATCTTCTTTCTCTCTCCGACTATTAAAATAACCTGAGGACAAGAACTATGTTTATGCAATTCGTATATATACACGCGCGCACACACACACACACAGACACATAGCTTTTTTGATTATTAATATAATTTGGATATATTTTTTGAAACAGCTTTACAATGAGTTACATATTTGTTTTGAAACCACAAAATCAAATGAAGCTATGCTCCGGCAAAGTGTTGTTAATCTTCAGGATCAGCTATTACAGAAAGAGCAAGAAAATGCTAAGTTAAAAGAAAAACTTCAGGAATCACAGGGAGCACCTCATCCTTTATCTCAAGAAAGTGATCCAGACTACTCAACACAGGTGAGTGACATTTTCTAAAACTGTTATTCAGTGTAATATCAAATTAAATCTCCTACAATTGACTAAAACATGAAAATTTAAATATATTTGCATTTATTGAAGTGTAAGAAGTGTGCAGATAGTTTTGCATTATACTGTTTTTATACTGTTTGTAAGCATGAATATTACAATACAGATTCATATAGAAATGCATGTAGAAGTATGGGGTCTAGCAAATATAGTTATCGTAATGAAACATTTGGCTGATATACATTATTGAAGAGCAAATTAATAAGTCATGCCCATTTTGAGACTTTTTAACTGAATGAGCTAATGGAATAGAAAGAGTATCTAACAGTAAGTTTCATAAAGTACTTGCCATAATGCCTGGTATGCGGTACTTAATATCCAGTAGTCCTAATTCTGCCACTACCTTGATACATGATTTTGGACAGGCCATATAACCTTTCTTACTATTTCCTTTGGTAAATGAAGGTAGTATAAATGTATAGATAAATATGTAGGATCCGGTTTCAAATAAGCCTGAGATTAATTATAGCTCTGTGAGCTTTGTGAACTTAAACACATTTCTTAGCCCTTTTATTCAAAACTTTCTCATAAAGAAAATGTTGACATTAATAGTATCTATGTCATAGAGTTTTATGAAGTTTAATGACATAGTGCCAGTAAAGTGCAGGGCTTAGCATATAGAAAATGTTAAATGGCACCTTTTTAGATAATCTTCAGGGCAACTTTCAACTCTACACATTTTTAAAAAAATCTCTGTCAATTTATTTAAGTGTTTTTAAGGCACTCATAATTTTTCTTTAAATTTTATAATGTATTAATTAAATTCAGAAATGGATTGTAATTTTTGAACATACCACATTTGTCTTGCTAATTACTCAACCTTACGACAACAGTTTTTAAGATTGTACCGTATTGTATGCATTTTTTGGACTTCAGGTACACAATATTGGATCAATGATAAAATTTGTGTTATGACATACTATTGTATGCATATGACAATTTAATTTAATGGCTTTGTTTAGTTCTTTATTATAATAAACACCCTTGGTTCAACCAACTTATCCAAAGACTAGATCATTACAAATGGCTTACATCTACTTGTATGTGCTTTGATTCTCTTATAAGAGGTAATCACCGAACTTCTTATCATTTTGATTTTTTTAAAACAGTTTTATCATATACAAATTTATGAGGAAACAGGTTATTGTTTAGTCATTCATAAAAATGATATAATGTGTCGTTTATGGGGTTAGGCAATTTTGACTCATCATTATGTTACTAAGATTTATTCATGTTTTTTGATATAGCTCTTTGTTTTCCCTGTTTAAAAATATTCTGTTATATGTGAGTATATCATAACTATTTTTACATGTATCTCTAGATGAGAACTTTTGTTATTTCCATTTTTGTTGTTATGGATAATATTAGTGTTGACATTTTCACACGTGTTTCTTGACGTACACATTCATGCATCTTTGTGAGTTATATATCTAGGAGTAGAAATCCTGGATTATAAAGTATGAAAATGTTACTTTTAGACAATACTGATCACCTGTTTTTCAAAGTGGTTTTATCGGTTTTACTACTACCAACAATATAAAAGAGATCTGGTTGTTTCCTGTCGTACTCAACACTTGGTGTTATCAGACTTCTTAATTCATTGCCAACTGAATAGGTATAAAATAATATTTTATTTTGGTTTTTACGTGCATATCACTGACTAGCCAATGTGTGTCTTCTTTGCGAAATATCTGTTTATGTCTTTTGTTCAATCTTCTACTGGATTTTTTCTTATTGATTTTCAAAAGCTCTTTATATGTTATTAATATTAATCCCTAGTAAATTAATATATGGCAGATATCTCACTGTGTACTTGTCTTTTCTTTTGATTTTCTTCAAGGTGTCGTTTGATGAACAGAAATTAAATTACTTCTTTTTTTTTTTTTGAGACAGAGTTTTGCTCTTGTTGCCCAGGCTGGAGTAAATGGTGCGATCTTGGCTCATTGGAACCTCCACCTCCTGGGTTCAAGCAATTCTCTTGCCTCAGCCTCCCAAGTAGCTGGGCTTATAGGCGTCTGCCACCATACCTGGCTAATTTTTTGAATTTTTAGTATAGACCTGGTTTCACCATGTCGGTCAGACTGATCTTGAACTCGTGACTTCAGGTAATCCACTCGCTGTGGCCTTCCAAAGTGCTGGGATTACAGGCGTGAGCCACCGTGCCCAGCCACTTTTTAATTTTAATTTAGGCAAATTAATCATTTATAGTTATTGGTTTGGTATTTCATTTAAGAAATCTGTCTGTTCCCCCAAAGACAGAAAGATTCCCAATCAAAATCCCAGGTGGGTTTTTCTGTTTTTTTTGTTGTTGTTTGTTTGTTTGTTTGTTTTTTAAAAGATAAAAGATCCCAATCAAACTCCCAGGAGGCTTTTTCTGTTATTTTAAGAAATTGACGGCCGGCCTCGGTGTCTCACACCTGTAATCCCAGCACTTTGAGAGGCCAAGGCCGGTGAGTTATGATGTCAAGAGATCGAGACCATCCTGACCAACATGGTGAAAGCCCTTTCTCTACTAAAAATACAAAAATTAGCTGGGCATGGTGGCGTGTGCCTGTAGTCCCAGCTACTTGGGAGGCTGAGGCAGGAGAATTGCTCCAACCCGGGAGGCAAAGGTTACAGTGAGCCAAGATCACACCACTGCACTCCAGCCTGGCAACAGAGCGAGACTCTGTATCAAAAAGAAAAAAGAAAAAAAAGAAATTGACAAATCAATTCTAAAGTTTGTAGGGAAATGCAAAGAACCTAGAAGAGCAAAATCAAGTTTCATAAAGAACAAGTTGGAGGATTTACAATCCCTGATTTGAGACTTATTTATTGAGCTAAAATATCAAGACGGTATGGTATTAGTATAATAATTGACAAAATAATCAATGGAACAGAGTCCAGATACATGCCTATTCATATATATAGCTTTATAGTAACTTTTGAAATGAGGGTAATGTAAATTACTTTATTCTTTTTCAAGAATATTCTGTATGTTCTTGCTCGTTTGCTTTTTTGTAGTAATTTTACTATAAGCTCCTCAATTTCTTCAAATAAGCATTCGTTTAGAAATGTTTCTGATTTCCTTTTGGATTTTCTGTTTGGAGAGTGTAAGTGTCTTGTTTACTTTTGAAATATTTGTGTGTGTGTATATGTGTATGTTTACTGTTTTATTGTTACTTCTAATCTACTTCCATTGTGGTCACAGGTAGTACTTGATAAGACTACTGTATATATATATAATTAATTTATTTATTTGTGGCAGAGTCTCGATCTGTCGATCTGTCGCCTGGGCTGGAGTGCAGTGGCATGATCGCGGCTCACTGCAAGCTCCGCCTCCTGGGGTCACGCCATTCTCCTGCCTCAGCCTCCTGAGTAGCGGGGATTACCAGTGCCCGCCGCCACACCCAGCTAATTTTTTTTTTTTTTTTTTTTTAAATTTTTAGTAGAGATGGGATTTCACCGTGTTAGCCAGGATGGTCTGGGTCTCCTGGCCTCGTGATCCGCCCGCCTCGGCCTCCCAAAGTGCTGGGATTACAGGCGTGAGCCACTGCGCCCGGCCTATATTTTTATATTTATTGAGACTTAAGGCCAAGCATATTGTTTTGGTGAAAGTACTATGTGTACCTGAGAATAATTTGTATTTTGCAACTACTGGGCAGAGTGCTCCTTAAATATCACTATTAATTATGTCTTTGCATTTGATAGTATTCAGATCTTTTATCTCTTTAATGATTTTTGTATTTAGTTTTTCTATCAATTGCTTTAGAAAGGAGTGCTAAAATCTCCCATATAATTGTAGATTTTTGTTTCTCCTTTGAGTTTTCTCAATTTTTGTTTCATGCGTTTTAAAGCTATTTTATTAGTTCTATGCATATTTATGATATGTCTTTCTGATAAATTGAACGCTTTCTCATTATAAAATGCCATTTTTAACTATAGTATTTTGTTGGCTTGAAATGTACCTTTATGATGTCAGTATAGCCAATTCTTCTCTTTAATGGTTATATTTTACAAAGTGTAACTTTCTCATTCTTCTAATTTCAGCACATAGGTTACTGTATATTTAAAGTGTATATATTTGGATCCCGTTGTTTATAATCCATTCTGACAATTTCTTCCTTTTCATTGCAATGTTAATCCTTTGAATTGTAACATAATTATAATATGATTGGGTTTAGGTGTACCATATTATCATTTGTTTTCTGTTTATCCTGTTTTTCGTTCCTCTGCCTCTCTTTTTCTTCCTTCCTTTTGGATTAATTAACTGGCTTTTTTTTTTTTAAATCTAGAAGTTTTACTCTTCTATCCTCTAGACCCACAGTTTCTGATGGTAATTCAGTGGAATTCATTTCATTATTCACTTAAAGGTAATGTGTCAGTTTTCTTTGACTTTTTTTCCCCCCCTCAAGATTTTACTTTTGACTATAAGCATTTAAACCATGATATTCCCAACCTTGATTTTCATTATAGTCATCCATCTTACGGTTTGTTGAGCTTCTTGATTTTCATAATTTTAAAACCAAATTGGAGAAAATTTTTGATATTATTTTCACAAATATTTTTGTTTCCTGTTCTTTCTTTTCTCTTTTTGAGATTACCATTTCACTTATGTTGGACTTTTCAATGTTGGTCCACAGATTAGTAAAGCTCTGTTGATTTTTATTGTTTTTGATACAGAGTCTCGCTGTATTGCTCAGGCTGGAGTGCAGTGGCGTGGTCTTGGCTCGCTGCAATCTCTGCCTCCTGGGTCCAGGTGATTCCCCTGCCTCAGCCTTCCAAGTGGCATTCACCACACATCCAGCTAACTTTTTTATATTTGGTAGAGACGGGGTTTTGCCATGTTGGCCAGGCTGGTCTCAGACTCCTGACCTTAGGTGATCCGCCTGCCTCGGCCTTCCGAAGTGCTAGGATTACAGGCATGAGCTGCCGCACCCAGCTGGCTCTGT